TTGTATAAAAAGTTAAGAGACTTAAACCAACCACAAGGTGGTGAAGCAAATGAAATGTCATATGACGACAAGTATAGACACTTCTCCAGGCAAAGATGAGACAAGTTTTAAATATTTACAATAACCGTAAACAAAAAGGTTTGGGAAACCACTCCCCCGAAGAAATGAAAAACAACCCTGACTTAGAGAAAGACTATATATTTAATAATTTAGTCAAAGAGACAAACAAGAAAGAATGCCGAGCTTCAAACTTCAGAAAGGTGACAAAGTAAAAATAGAAATACCTAAACGCGACCCATATGAAAATACTATTGACTATGACAACAATGGGAACTCGACAGGTACTCACATTCGTGTTCGTAAAATAGAAGAAAGTATACAAGAGAATATTATGAAGTTTTAGCAAACATGGCAAAATGTACACACTGCAAGCAGAAGATAAAACTACTATTGCCAGACCTCGTTTCAAACTTGTCAAAGTTCAAGGTGGTATACTTTCAAAGACGTTCCTAACAAATATAAGACAACTCCTGACGAATATGCTAAAGAAGTTGAAAATGACGACTAAGCAATTCTATACCATGCGTAAACTGTCATGTAAGGTGGCATGTAGTCTTTACTTTGTCCCGTTGTTTGCGTATATCCTGAAACGAAATGTGTATGGTTTCCTTCTCCCTGCGTGTCATCCCAGTAACAATTTATAGCAAACTTAACGTCGTCTTTAACAATCATATCCTTTACCTTTTGTCATTCCTGACCAATCCAATATCTATGCTTATGCCAACCTGCTTGAGATGTACTTAAATCTATGTAGTGACTGTGTGCAGGTAAATTTTCACCTGAAATCGTTTTACTTCCACCTGTTTCCTTTGAAGAGTTTGCACAATACAAAAACCTGTCGACTATTTGTTCCCATGCACCAACACCAAACATTACTTGAGGACCTCTTGCTTCCATAGATGTATAAATAGAACCTACTGGGTTCATTAAATCAAACATATGAGATATTATAGGATTGTCTCTTTTGAACTTAAAATATAGTGCAACTATTTCAGGTTTCTTCTGGTTTGTTTAGAATATTTTTTATAATATAATCTTATGTTTTCAGGGTGGTAAATCTTGACTATAATATTTATTTCTGTCATCTTCATAATAGTATACTATTCTCGTTTTTTCTATTGCATTATATCTTTTATATCTATAAATAATCTAAATATAATGTTAGCTTTTGTTCATCTACATGTGGTGTTCTGACGTCATCTCCATAGTCATAATAATATGGTGCTGGAGCTGGGTCAGGCAATGTCATATCTGTCATTTCATAAACTCTTAAATATTTCTTTTGTTCGTCTCCATATAAGTTTAAGTACAGTTGTTGTTCTAATGGAACTTTAACTTGTGTACCATCATTCTTTTTATAGCTTACATACATTTCATTGTTATTTTTCGGAATGAGTTTATACCGTGTTACCATTTCTAAGGACTGTACAACGCCATCTAAAATATTTATTTTCTTCATTGACAGAAAAGTCACCAACAATAGTTTCAATATTTTTTGTTCCTATCAAACTTTGGTATATTTCATTGACATATGTTTTATCTGCTTTATTTTCAAGGCTAACGTTTAAGTCTGTTATTTCAGAAGATGTATGTGTATGTCCAACGGCACTTTTCCTGTTTAAGGTTTCTTGTAAGTTTGTAATATTTGCAATGGTATGTGTATGAGTCTTATCTGCTTTTGTCTCTAATGTTTCCTTAAGACTTGGTATTTGGTTAATATAATGTATATGAGTCTTTTTAGAATATTCGTTTTCAGCTCTTGTCACTTCATTTGACATTTTATTGTCAACATATGTTTTGTCTGCTAGTTCAGGATGAGTATGTTCTTTTGTTGCATAAGCATTGTTAGCTCTTTCTTCTTCTTTTGCTATTGCATCGTCTACATATTCTTTGTCAGCTTTGTTGTCAACATCTGCTTTCAAAAGAAGTTCATTTATAGGCTTCTCGTTTAAGGTTCCTTTTGTTGGATTTATACAGACAGTATGGTTCTTATTGTCTTGAAACAGAAACTCATCTGTCATTGGGTTTAATGTCAGTTTTAAGTTTCCTTCTTTCAATGACTCAGATATCTTAGAATAGTTTGAAAAGTTTGTTGTGTTCTTATTTAGAGCTTGCATAATGAGTTGTCGGTTGTGTTGTATTTCTCTCATAGACGCTGTTTCATTTGACATTTTTATTCTAGATAAAATATGCTTTCAATAGAAAAAGAAAATTCAAGAGTTGCTACAACTAAACCATTAGATGAACTTTTTACTAATGTCGGTCAAAAGTTTGAGACAGAGACCGTAAAGCATGAAGGCTATCGTTTTGACTACCCATTGAGATGGCTAAGAGACCCATCCGTCACAAAAGCTATTGGCTTTCGTAGAATGAAGTTCATTTCAGAAGCCATACATGGTTTCCCATTTACGGTCGGTTTTGAAGTTCGATACTATAACAAAGAAAAACGTATGTATGAGAAATTTGAACAGGGAAAACTTTTACAAGTTAGTTTGCTTGTAAACTTAGAAACAACTCTTCAAGCTTTTCAAGAAAAAATAAACGATATCTATCTCGAATATGCAAACCAGTATAACATTGACGAAGGAGAGTACCATCTCGATATTATATATGACAGGAAAAATGCAACTGTTAAAATCAATAGAATAGAAGACCTTGGAGAAAACGTTTATATTTCTACAAAATATAACAACTTGGCATGGTATAGATTTTTGAGGATGTTAAATCAGCCTGCAGAATATCCAGTACACCCGGACTTTTATGAAGTCGAAAACCCTAATGGAACATATGAAAATATTTTCGACCAAGATGCTATTATTGTTCATGCTTCATTTTCTGGCGCCCAAAACTCTTTCTTATGCTTGGCAAATGACTTTTACGAAAAACCTACAAAGTTATACGAACCACCAAGTGGAAGTATTTCAGACTTTCAAGTATGGTTTACTACAGATGGAAGAAAAAGAATAATTCCATTATACCATGTGTTTTACTTAGAACTTAGTTTCATATACAACTACTATCGAACGGTAAAAATATAATTTTTTAATACGGTTGAGGTGTTGGATTTGGTTGCCAACTAGACTGTGGTGCAGGTTCAGGCTGTTGTATAACAGGAGCTTGTTCTTCTGGTTCAGGGTCTTTAGGTATAATACCAACGAACTGACCTACTCTTTTACCAATATTTTTGACTCCGTTCCAAATTCCTCTTCCTACGGTTTTTATTCCATTCCATATACCTCTTCCAACTCTTCTGAAGAAGTTTCCAATACTACTGAAGAAACCCATTTTACTATATGTAAAAATCTAATGGCCGCCTAGTCTCTTACGTTTCCTGTTGAGTTCCATAGCATTCTTTAACTGCAGCTCATACATTCTGTTTCTCCTCTAGTAGAAAACATATTCTGGGTCAACTCCTGTGTTCGCGTCATCTGCATAAAGTTGTTTATATCCCACTTCAGGGTTTGTATAAAACTCTTTCCATCTCATATTTGCATACCATGGTGGCAAACCTAACGCAGCGTCATTTGACATGGCAGTTTGCATTTGTACATCTGTTGGCACTTGACCATAGTTTGCCATTGCAGTTTGTATTCTAACTTCATTTGGAATATTCTCTGGGTTTGGTTGTCCAGGTTGCTGTGCATTCGCTAAGTTCTGTGCGTCCATTTAATATTAGATAAAAATATCTCTTACGAGTACATATACTGAACATTTGCAGGCATTGGTTCATCTTCATATTCTCTGTACTTTTCTGCCACGTCAAATAAATAAATGACACAATGGAAAAAACCTAAAACAAGTAGTCCTATTTCAAACCACATTTACTTACTAATAAAATTTCTTTATTGTGACACTTTCTCCAGTTTATAGGACCTCTCTCATATTCTATCTTGTCATATATAAACTCATAGTCATGTATGTCCTCTAACCATCTCATAACGGTTTCCAAACCACTTTTATCGGATGTAAAGTAAAAGCATGGATGGTTATGTATAACGTCTAAAGTTTCTAAAGAGTCTCTCAAAGTCCAGTCTACTTGGTATTGAAAATCCCATGTGTTATAGAACGGCGGGTCCACTATAAAGAAAACATTTTCCTTGTCTTTATATTTTTCATACAACTCTGTCCAATGACATCTCACAAACTCTATACCCTCAATATATTTTTCTATGTCCTCTTTGAAAACATTTGTATAGTTAAGATATAAAACTTTTGACATAAGTGTTTCAATGTCATGAACTCTTATAGAACCACTATATAATAGTCTAGCAGATATACTATCCCAGTCAATATATTCTGCTTTTTTCAAAACCTCTCTCACAATATTTTTCTTATCTAATGGTATACGTTCCATCTTACCTATCTGAATCTTTTCTTTTAACTCTTTCAATATATTGTTTGTGTCTGGAATATGTTTGAGACGGTCCATATAGTTGCCGAAGTCATTGCATATAATCTTTGAGTCTGGGAATACGGTATGGCACAAATGGGATATATAGAAACTTCCACCGAACAAATCTACAAATGTTAGACCATTCGGTAGTTTCTTAAGTTCTCTCAATATAATATCTTTACATCTACTCTTATTTCCAAAGAACGGTAACGGTGGTTTTGTAAAATTCATTTATATATAATAATAAAAATGTTTTTACCTGAAAAGTGACAGAAAAGTGACAAAGCATGAAAACATATATAATTTGTGAAAAGTGAAACAAAAAAGTTAACGGCTGGTCGGCTGGGGTTCGGTCCTCCTCTTGGGTCTTGGGCAAAATTTCTTATGGGCTAGAGGGCGCAACGCGCCTGGAAGCCCTCCGAATATAAACTTCATTTATACTAATCATCTTCAGGGCTAGAAGGGGCGCAGCCCCTGGAAGCCCCACTACCTTTTTTTTTTTTTTTTTTTTTTTATATCGTATAAGAAAAAAAAAGAAATAACAAAATTAGTGGGCGTGAGAATTTTCAGCATCTTTGCAGAGAGACATCCAATCAATTCCTCCATCCAATTCATATTTTGCCTTTATAATTTCCAATTCTCTATTTCCGAGAGAAATAGAGAAAGAATTTAATCTTTTAATGAATTCATCGACAGAAATCGATCGTTCGCATCCCTGGAATATTGAATCAAGCTTTCTTCTTCTTGCTTGTGCCTTTTGTCTCATTGCACAAAGTTCAGTGTTCAATGTTGTTAAATTGCACTTCAAAATTTTTGCTTTTGCGGCTTTAGTCATATCCAATGCTCTCTGAAGTTCAAATAAATCGACAATTTCTGGTCTCCTTTTGTCTCTGAAACTGTTTAAAATTGCTGGAGAATCTTTACTGAATTTCATGAGTAAATTAGTAGCACGTTCGACATTCATGTTTGGTGTGATGATATCTCCGATATTTATTGCGTTATATTGGAGGTTTGACTTCAATTGTGATAACATTTCGTAAATTTTCGCATTGTTTCCACTTGTTATTATTGCAGAACTAGAAAGAAGTGGTTGAGCTTTTTCAGACTTAAGGTGTTTGCAAAGATCAACGTAATTCACTTCTGGATAATTTCGAATTAAAATTTGAAGTTCTTGGCTCGAAAGTTCAGCAAAAGAAATTATTTCGTAAAATGATTTTACAGAAACTTGTCCTGTCTTCAAACTATCATTACTTGTAAATTCATCTTCGATAGAAACGCATAATCTCCTTGCTGCTGTATTTATCTTCTGGAGGATAGGAAGAACTTCATCTTTAAGTTCAGCCTTGGCCCTCTCTGTGCGAGGTTTGATTGGTTCTGCACTGTCATAATAATGTGGAGTCGGAGTTTCGATTTCTGGGGGATCTACTGCTGCAGAAAATGCTTTCCAATCTAAATAGTTCTTATTGGCAGCGGGAAAAGCAACAATATACGCGGAAATGTCTTCTCTTGTGAAATAGAATTGTAATCTCGTCAACAAAGTACGAAGCGTGGCTCCATCAATGAAGCCTTCTTTCTGTCTATCGCTTCTGGCTGCTAAATATGAAAATCGTTGGTGAGTTTTGAGAAGATAATCGCGCAAGTCAGAAATTCGAGCTGTTGGAGCACCTTTTTGAGGCATATCAAAGCGCTGTAAGAAAGATTGGAGATCAACACCATTAGGAGTATTGAAATGTTCTGCAAGTGGAAGAATATCAGATTGATTGATAAAAATTTTCATTTGGGAGATAATGTGGCAGAAAAGAGGCATTGGTAAATATTTTTCATTTGACCTTTCGCCAAAATAAAATTTTGGATGAATGTGTCGGAGATATAATTGCTGTTTCAAGTAATCTATTGTTTCTTCTGGGTTCGAAACTGGCTGCTTGGTCTTGATAGAGTTGCTTGTAAGTTGAGTTGTTTGAATTTGTTTAGTTACTGACATTAAATCGTTCAAAAAGTCTCTTACATTGATATAGCCATCGCAGTCAGTATAGAACGAAACAATTGGAGATATGTCATGGCAAAAGTCGTGTATTAATGAAACGAATTGATCAGATGCAATTCTTCCACATCTTGAACGATCAAACTGAGAAAGTGCATATGCAATGTCGAAGCGAGCTCTGTCAATGTTTGCAGCTATCTCCTTTAAATCAGGTTTCTCGGGCTTAAATATGGTGTCAATATTATCGATATCTTTTTGAATTAAGAGATAAGAAACGCCTCCAGTTGATTCATTCATGTATTTATGAACGATCTTTTTGATATCGTTGCCGAAGCCGAGTTGCCTGTAAAAGCTGTCAGGGGAAACGTATCCTTTGAAATTCGGGTCGAAATTACTCAAAAGATCTCGAAGAGTGGTCCTCATTCCTGCAAGATGATTTTTAAGTTTCTTTAATTCGGGGATTACGCTCAATGTATCTGTATGTTGCAAATCTTTAATGGAATTTGAATTTTCTACGTCATTGTAGAATTTTACAACATCAATTCCATTTGGAACGGCATATTCGGTGCAAAGCATATTAAATTGTTGTTCTGTGATTTGAAATTGGATGTTTGAGAAAAATCTTCGAAATCCAATGAGAGAAGCTACACCATTTTGTTTCCTATTGTATGGATTAAGTTCATCTTGTATGTAGAAGCCTCTTGTTCTGCAATGATCCTTGATACGAGCTATGAGTGTCGAATTCATTTTATTTTTGATATAAACGTTCGTTTAAAATAAAATTGCTTACATGGACAGAAAATGTGATGAATATATTCAAGTAGTATAATTGGTAACAAATACGAAATCTAATGAAGCGCAATTTTATTTAATTGGTACCAATTAATATATTAAGTTCAAATCATGTCAATATATTAACTCATTGTTAAATTCCATAATTGAAAAGTGTTTGAATGTCTAAAGCTTGAAGATTTTTTTTTAACTTCATCACCTTAGGTATTATAAACTATCTTGAATGTGTGCAGCGAAACAAATTGATAATTTGTTTTCTGTTGAAAAAGAGAAGTTAGTTTTAGTAAATGTGTATGTAGATGAAGATAAAACTTTCTATGAAAAAGAGTCATATAAGCCAATAATATATATATATACATGCAGAGTAATATGTAATATTACAAACAGGTTTATTCATATAAAATTAATTATAGTAATCAAGACCTTTATTAAGTTCTTCGGGTGCTGGATTCTTTAATAATAAATTTATATCTGTCTCTATTTGTCCTTGAGATAATTTTGTCATTGCCAAGTAAATATCGCCAAATGATTGGTGAATTGCAATAAGAATAGAAGCAAAAGGAATCCGTTCATTGAAAAATTTGTAAATCTTGTAAACAGTTTCGTAATAAGGAGAGGGAACAAATTGCTTTATATCTTCATTGATTCGGGAATCTTCTTCATGGCTAAAATCATTTTTCTCTTCGTCTGATGAGGAAATAATTCTTGGTAGTGGGATATTTTCATCTGAAATGTTTTGAATTTCATTTTTATCTTCAGATTTTGAATTTTTATCTTTGTTAAACATTAGAATTTTTTCTGACAAAATTGATTCATCATTTTCATCAAACTGGAATCTAAGTTCTTCTTCAGAATCATTATCATGAGTGTGTCTATTTGTTGGATTATCAGTATCACTACTATTGAGATTTATAGATAAAATTGAAGAGTCTAATTCGCCATTTGAATTTTTTTCTCCTGAATGAGGAATTTCACTTCTTTTCTCTGGTGTTTCTTGAGATTCAAGTCTGGAAAAAATATCTAAAATAGTATTTGAGTTTTTCTTCGGCCTACCAGGCTTTTTTTTCTCCTTTTGTTGTTGTTGTTCTTGTTCAACTTTATTTTCTGAAGAGATTGGATTTTTTCTTGGTCTTCCAACTTTTCTTTTGACTGCTGCCGAGGAATCCTGGCCTTCTTTCGGAATCTCAATTTGAACTCGGCTGCCTTCCTGTGGCTGAGTGTTAGCAGGATTTTTCTTCGGCCGGCCGACCTTTCTCTTTTCAGTTGTCTCTGAATTAGTGACGTTTTGATCATTTTCGTTTGTTGTAGGAATAATTTGGCTCTTTCTCGGTCTTCCGACTTTTCTCTTCTCTGGTTTGGCCAAGATGTTTGTCTGTTCTTGATTACTTTCAATAATTTTAGGAAGATCTAATCCGATACTTGCTGTATCTATGTTTAATGATTCAATCTGTTGTGGCTGAGTTTCATCATGTAGATTTTCGCTTGTGACCGCGTTCGGTTGGGAAATTTCTATAATCTTTGGTTCAAAAGAATTCTTTCTTGGCCTTCCTGGTTTTCTTTTTTCTTGGACAGGTAAGGTTATTTCATTAAGTGAAAAAGCTACTTCTCCTTGACTATGTCCGACCATTTCTACGATTTTTGGTTCTAATGAATCCTTCTTCGGTCTTCCTGGCCTCCTTTTCTCTTGTTTATCAGAGTCTGGATGAATGATTTTGAGTAAATCGTTATTATGAGGTTCAATTGATTGACTCATAATTGGTAGAGTGATAACATCTGTCTTTGTTTGCTTGGCTGACTCATATTCTTTCTTCAATTCGGTACTCGCACTGTTATGGTCAATTGGATTTTTCCGTGGTCTTCCTCTTTTCCTTTTTGTACCATTTTCAATATTTTCATTCGGTTGCTTTTTTGGCCTGCCCTTCTTTTTCTTTGAACCCATATCTTCAGAAATAATTTGGTCAAATTCTGTTGAACTAATTAATATAGGATCATCTGGCGAATCATTATCATCTGAATGGCCACTTGACTTCTTTTCATGCTTTTCATCATCACTTGAACTTGTTTTGAAACTTAAAATTAAAGCTTGATAATTTTGCAGAGGTTTATTGAGAATTTCAGGGTTCACAGGATTATTAATTATGCTTGGTTGCTGATTTATTTGCATCAATAATGTATTTTCGGACAAATCTTGATTTTCCGCAGTAGGTAACTTTTTTTCAATTTGAACTGGAGACTGTGGGTCTGTATTTTGTTCGGCGGCTGTTTTTTGTTTTGAATTAAGAAGATAAGTGTTGGTTTGTTGATTAACTAAAGTTTCGTTGGAAAAAACACCTATTTCCATAATATTTTGCTCGTTATTAGAATTACAATCTATATCCTGTGAAGGATCATTGACATGATCATGACTGGAACTCATTATTCATTTAGTATGTCACTTTTTATTTAATTCTGAGGTTAACTATTTGCCAAAAGCTTCGTTACACGTCAAAAATTTATAAGAAGAGTGTTACCCCCCACCCCCACCTCTATTGAACATCATGAATTTTTCTGGTGCATATTGTTTGTGTTGTGTGTTAGGTATATACGCAACGTTTTCACTCAAAATTAATTGAAATATTGCTAAAATTTTTACCAAAATCATTTCTTTGAAATGGATCCAGTTGATGAACTCTACAATAGACAATTAAAAGTCTATACTAGAGAGGGTCAGGAGAAGCTTGCCGCGGCAACAGTTCTTATGATTGGCTGTGGCGGCTTAGGAAGCACAGTCTCATTAGTATTATCTAGATCTGGTGTTGGTCACTTAGTTATTGTTGATAAGGATACTGTTGCCATGTCCAATATCCATAGACAGATCCTTTATAACAGAGAAGACGTCGGAAAGTTGAAAGTTGAAGCAGCAGCTGCAAATCCATTGCTCCAGCTCTCTAAAGTTACACCAATTAACACGCACATCGATGAAGCTGCCGCCAGTAAGCTTATCGAAGAATACAAACCAATCGTTGTTATGGACTGCACTGATAATTTCGATGTAAGAATCGCTGTTAATGCTGCATGTGCTAAGCACTCTGTTCCATTTGTCTATGGATCAATTACAGGTCTTAATGGACAAGTTTCTGTCTTCTGTTACCATGAAAAGGATCCAAATTGTCCATGTTTCAATTGCATCCATCCAGAAAAGCCAACACCACTTGAGGGCCCACCACCAGTTGTCCCAGGCATCTGCACAATTACAGGAACCTTCCAAGCTCAGCAGGCAATAGCCATTATCACTGGAGTTGGTCATATCCTCGTGAAGGAGCTCTTTACGATCGATATTGATAGACTCAAGTTCAGAACATTCAGAATGAGAGATAGAAACCCAGATTGCCCTGTTTGTGGAAAGCATAAATAAAAATTTTAGAGAAAATATAGATTTTCTATGACTTTTCTATAACTTTTATTTATTTGTAGTTAATGTACTTACTATTGTATATAATTATCTGTAGAATTGGAGTAAATCTTTATTACAATTACTTAAAATATTGAGTATTATCGGGAAAGTTCATGCCATTTTGGTTAACCAACCATAAGCGAAATTAAATATCCAACCAAGTGAATAATATACCAAAAACAATTGACCAAATTGAAAAATCCGAATTGTATGGAAATTTGACAGACCATATAATGAACTACGAAAAGCAAATTTGCAAGCAAGTTCAAGAGCAACCAGCATACATTAAGGACGAAATCCTCCTAAAGATGCAGCGTGCATCACTCTGCCGCTATGACAGAGGACCAAATATTCTCCATTTGATGCCACAATTTTACGAATACATCAAAACCTTCGAAACAAAGATTGATCAGATCCTCTCTGAGTACTCCACCATCCAGAAGGCCTCATTATTCTACGGTTCTGATTCTGAAGTTTCATCTTTAGTTTCAGGCATGGTTCGTTCAATTCGTGCCCTCCCACTTATTGTAAAGCAGGAACCTCACACATCTCTTCTTATCAGGCCATCAATTCTCCCTGCTCGTACATGCTACGATCTCATTTACCATTACTTCTGTGATAAGGAGATTGATTTCGGAAAGGAATTTCTCACAAAACTTGTTGAAGCCTACGGGTTCCAGGAGAAGTGGCAAATCGAGCCATACTGCGATGGCTATGGCTTAATCGATAAGACCATCGAAAAAGAAACAACTCTTCAGCTTGCCTCTAAGTACGAAATTCCTCCAGCACCAGAGTCTATACCAGAAATCCAGATGATTGAGACCCCAGGAGCTCATACAATTGATGACCTCGCCAATTTCACAAAATTACCAACAAACCAGCTCATCAAAGCCGTCATGTACCAGTACAACGGAAAGCTCGTCTTCTGCAACATCAGAGGTGACTTAGACGTTTCTGAAGACAAATTACGTCATTTCCTTGGTCTTGTTGACTCTTCAACACCACTTGAGCTTGCTCCACAGGAATTACTCGACAAGCATGGCTTAGTACCAGGATTTGCCGGCATAGTTGGCATGAAACGCGCTGGAGAAGCAATTGTTATCTGCGATGAGAGCTGCAGAACAGTCCATTGCGGTGTAACAGGAGCCAATAAAGTCGATTATCACTACACTAACTACAATATCCCAAGAGATACAAAGAAATTGGCAAAGAATATCGTTTACGCTGATATTGCACTTAACCCAACAACAGTTAAGGGCGCAATGATCGCTGAAGTCGCTCGTTGCACAGCATTCCCAGCAGAAGTCCTCGGAAACGACTCAAAACCAGTCAAGACACCTTTATTCAAATTAACAATCCGCTTAATCGATCTGGCTTACGTCATGATACAGGACCATCCTATTGATGGTGTTTATGTCATCAATCTCTTGAAGACTGAAGATAAACTCAATAATGCACTCGCAGAGATTACAAAGGCTTACGGTATCACTTCTATCGTCGTTGATAACAGACCAAAGGCAAACTTTGGAGCCAAATCCGACACAGCCAAATTATCTTGCCTTAAACACACTGTTTTCGTTTCAAACAAGACAGAAGATGATACGGTCATGGTTGGAGAAACACCAGTTAAGATTGCAGAACTTGTTGAGTATTTCCGTACTCATTAAATAGAAATTTTAAATAAAAATCGTAAATTTTTTAGTAAGTGCCATAAAAATACGGTTGTTGTCACTCGGTGTTCTGTTTTCTTGTTGCTTTTTCTCTAGATTTTTTACAATTTTTATTGGTAAATAAAAAGACTTGCTTCATGTTTAACAATCTGTTAATTAAAGGTAAATCAGTGGATAGATTGTTTTAACGTAATTGATATCTCATGAGCACTTTATCATTGAAATTTATGATATTTTCTATTGTAAAAGCATTGTTGGACATTAAATCGTGAATTCATTTGAATTTAATGAAACTACTTTAACCCTATTAATGCACTTTTGGGTTCTCATTTACCATTATTTCGCTCGATATACTTTTTTTAGAAATTTGACGGGGAATTTTTCCTCGAAGACTTTCAAAAATTAATTGTATATGCGTGAACGATATTTTGCAATTTTCCAGAACTGAAAAAAAATGCTCAAAAGGATATTGTCACTTTTTATATGGGTTAACAAGTGTTAATTAACTTTTGTAATAAAAGCATATATCATCAATTGTAACAAAAATGAATTCTGTAACTCTCAATTGTTTCAATTCTCAAAAATCGTAATTACCGGAAATTAAGGCAGCACCTCAAGGAATTCGTCCACGTTTTCAAGCAACTACTCCACGTCCAGAGGTTAAGCATACCAATACATTTCGGCCCATGTCTCGCTCTCCTCCTCCATTTGAAGCTCCAACCCAGGGTTCTCATAACAAAAAGGTAGACGAAATCTTTGAGCAGCAGCCTCAGCTTCAACAATCTACGAATGTTGCATTACTGTCGCGAGGAATTTCCTTATTATCAATCACTCAGCTCAGAGATCTATTCAGAGACTACTCTTTGCCTACAGGCGGAAACAAAAACGTACTTGTTAATAGATTAATTATTTTTCTAGAAACATTTGGGCAAAATCAGCAAAATATTTTGACTGCTTTTTCAGCGAAGCTTTAAAAACTTCTCTCAATCGATGCTGAAGACCCATCGTCATCTCCGCACAGCGAAGAATCATCTCCAATTCAACATCCTCAAATAGCTCAAAATTTACCCGAAGATATTCTATCAAAACTCTTTACTCAAACTCCATCTGAGTTATACGAATCAACCGATATACAGCCGTCTCTTGGACCTCTTATTGTTCAACCTGATTCGCTAAATCAGCCTTATCAATTCACACTTACGTCGCCTGACAAGTTCTGTATACCAGTTTTACAGTTTTCTCCAAGCTTTTCTACAGTTCTCGTTTCCAGAATTGTTGTTCAGCTCAATGGAACTTTTATTAACCTGAAAGGTCCATCATTTTACTCGGACTTGAAAGATCTGATTGGCCACCCATGTACCTTACAAATTGTTTCAATCGAACCAGCTACATCTATCATTGGTGTTGTTAGGTGGATGAGACCTATACCAATACAGCACATGATAAATCAAATAGCTCTGAAGGAGCCAGTTAGAAAGATTTGCTGCAACCAGCCTCCAAATGGAATTTGTCCTCTGACTCATAAAATTATTACTCGACCAGCAAGAGGAGTGAATTGCATGCACGGTGAATGCTTCGATGTGTCTGGATTTATTTGCAACTCAATGAGAAATAATTCATGGCAGTGTCCGATTTGCAGAAAACCACTCACAATTGAGGATTTAAGAATAGATCCTTACTACTTCGCTCTTGCAAGTGGATCATTAACTTAATTTATATAACTTTGTTTTTATTTTTAAAATTAATCATGAATATAATAAAACTCATTATTTAAATGTTCATCATCTTACTAGCTATCTTGGTTATTGATATAAGGAAATTTTGGAAAAATTTGGGCATTATATACAAATATAGATGCATGAAATGAGCACTAATAAATTAATGAAGGTGTAATATTATTAAATGGTGTGGATAGGTATATTCAATATTCAAAATTTGATCCAAAGGATCACATGATTGGTAAGATAATATTCCTAAATGCAATATTTAGATTGGATGCTTTAATGTAGGACTAAGTTACAGTGTATAAAAAAATATGAAGTAATATTCAAAAATAATAAATGGTTTAAAACATGAGATGCGGGTGCTTAATAATATCTAACATATAATTTCTGTTTTGATGGCTGTTTATGCAAATTAAGGTTTAATTGGTTCAACTTCTTTGTTATCAACTTGTCTTTCATCTCGCTTTGGCTTGATAACGAGGAAATAAACAGCTATCAGTGAGATAATGACAATCGCTAAGACAATTACAATAACCAGAAGGGCAATTTCGACCCCTTGCATTTTTTTTAATTTTTCTGACAGCTTACATTTATCCAAAATTCAACAAGTCGAATACGTAAAAAAATTTCAAATTTTTAGTTCATGAATTCCAAATTCAACGTTTTAAAACCGCCAATTTTTCAATTCATTCAGAATTTTTTCGATATCCCATCATCACTTATTAACATTGCCCGTATTGGTACAGAAAAAAGTTGTTGTTGTTTATTCACGGAAAGTGACACTCCTCAGCTTTTTTCCTCGGGTTGCTGATTGCTTCCTTTCTGCTTGTCATGAATAAAAAAAGCTTTTAAATACTTAATAATCCTCTGAATTTATTGAATTTGATTCAACAACAACAACTGAAAAAAAAATTCAGTTATATTCGATAAGTGTAGCAATATTCAGGCTATAGTTACATCAATTCATTTGGACTTATTAACAAAGTAAGAGTGATAGCCGCATTTATAGGATATGGTGTAGAGATCTTTATAAATACCATTTATATAAGTACAAATAAGCTCTATTTATTCATATATATCTAAAATTAAAAGTTTTTGGATTTCTTTTCTCTCTGGAATCTTGCCAATGGGTCAGCTTCCTCATCCTTTCCATCAGCCTCCTTCTTTAGCTGTGCAGTCTTTTCCTCTATTAGTTTCCTGTTGTATTCGTCCTTCATCATTCTCAATTTTCTTTCCATTGTCACTTTTTTAGGTTGATTTTTCTGTTTTTTATTTGGTTCTTCCTCATTTTGTTGTTGCTGATCATTTGCGTCTACCTTTATCATTCTCTTTTTCTTTAACCTTTCTGTTCTCTCCTTATGCTTATTCTCTATCTTTCCTACGTGGAACACAGTTGATGGGTCCAAAGAAATCATCTCTTTCGGCAGTTTGTCAAGTAAATGTCTGACTTCTTGTTCCTGTCTCCATTCTGCTGTCTCGAACGGGTTTGCGACATTTGAGTCGAGGTTTGGCTCACCCGATCCAGGCACAACCATACTCGAGATGCCGCTTTGGAGACCAATAATTGCAAAATCTTCAAAAGTGGCAAATTTAAGACTTGTCACTTTTGATGGATATTTTGAGGACAGGAAAGCTCTTTTATCTTCGTATTTGTTGTACATCTCTACGTGGTTTCCGCGTGCAACACCGAGGACTCCTGTAGCTGAGAAGGCAATGTCTGTAATTCCCGCAAAATCTGATCGCTTTTGGTAGCAACGATTGAAATTTCGTAAATCCCAAATTTGGATGTTTCCGTCGCCGTGAGCAGCAGCAAGTTTGGTGCCTGTCATGTCGATATCGATGGCAACAACAGCTGGAGTATGCTTCTGTAATCGGGCAACGGGTTCGTTTGTGTTTGGTGTCCATAATGAGATTGATCCACGGTCATGGCCTAATGCAATGACGCCACTCTGCCTGTTTCGGCACATGCAGGTGGGAAGGAATGTAGTGTAGGCGTTCATAACAATTTCGCCAGATGTTATATCAGTATAAACAAGGTGTTTATGCTCTGTAGCAGCAACAAGGAGCCAAAAGTGGGGTAGGAACTCAAGATGAGTAGCACCGTTGGCTTCTCTGATTTCGTGCATTTGAACGCCGGTTTTATCTAAAATGTAAAGAGATTTGTTTGTTGCCATGGCACAACGCGTGTTATCACCAAGGAAACATACATCTCTCACTTTGAATTCAGGATTTATCTCTAAATGTTTCTGCCCATTGAACCAATCAAACATCGCAAGATGACCTCCTTCGCCGCCAAGAAGCAACGTTCTGCCATTTTCGGTAATATCAACGTGATATGGTCCATTGGGTAGTTGAAAATCAAATTTTCTTGCAGCTATAGCAATCGGGATTTCTTTCAAAATTTCGCGCTGAGAAAGTCTTGTTTGTGAGTCTATATAACCTTTTTCAACTGTATGAAGCATTTCAGAGCGTGCAGCACTTCTTGCAGCTGCTGAAACGTCTTCTTTATGATGAATAAGTTCATTTCTAATTGCTGGAGCTTTAACTTCTTCATCAATCAACTCTTCATCGTCTGCACCGCGGACATACTTTTCATATTTCTCCTTTTGCTCGGGACTAAACCATTCGTCGCGGTCAGGAAGAGTGGGTTGATCTTTCGACATTGCAGATTTTTATATCACATGTCTGAATTCTAAAATCTTTTATTGTGTCTCAATAAAAATCATTAAATTTTTTTTTTGTTCTTTAAAAAGTTATGGATATAAGCATATCATTATTTTAAAATTTATGCCTTCCAATCAATTTCTAAAACTACAATATGATGAGAGGAGATATTAATATATTAATATATTAATATATAAATGAAATTAAATTTTAATATAAATAAATAACAAAAAAAAAGAAAATAACAAAAAAAAATTCTGATTAATCTGATTCAGATTCGCTAGAAGAAGGCTGTGAGTTCTCTGCGTATTGTCCAGTGATTCTCCTTCTGTACGGATAGTCTGGGGAAGCGTCGAACAGCCCCATCGCCAGAATTTGCGAGTCCCTCATTCCGGCGTTGTCTTCCTCAGAAAGGGAGGGGGCACCGCGATTTGAGGGGGAAGCAGGAACATTCTGTCTGGCCGGGGAAACTGTCGGAGTTCCCCTCCTCCACGAGTTTGCCTGCGATTGCGCTGTTTGAGGAGTCAGCGTTGTAGGTGTTACTGGGCCATCTCCTTCGCGCTGGGACGTGTCATCGGCTGGCCACTCGTCTGTACCTGTGGCAAGAGCAATTTCGAAGGTCACTTGACCTGCGAGCGATGATTTGATAATTATCGGATGGCCAGGTGAGATTAAGAACATCTCTATCTTCTGGCTGTATATGGAGGCTAATTTGAGTGCAACAAGGAAGTCGCCTAAGGCAAATCTAAGTTTAATACGATTACTATCATCATTGAATATACAGTCGCAACTTTCGCCCTTTTTAATTGTAAGAGATGAGACTATACTGCTATCATAATTGGCACTTTGCAAAATCATCTGAGTTGGTCGATCTTCTGTTCTTGAAACTTCCATTGTAACATTTTCACTGCCTTTGAAGGCATTTTTGACACCATTAAATGTGTCAAACCTGCAATGGACTTTTACAACTGCAGTTTCTAAGTCATAGAGCGCGGTCAATAATACTGTTTCTTGAATATAAAGTTCCCAGCTATGAGAAATGCCGGATCTATCTTCAACACACAATATAAACTTATTGGCGTTAGTATCTATAGAAAATGAAAGACTTGTCGTGTTATTTACGTTTTTAAATGCGAAAAGTAAGCTTTGAATTGATAATTGGCATAATATTTGGGGTTGATCAGAGTCATATTCGTAATTTGTAAAGAAAGATGGATGCATTCTTACAACTGGTAACGCGCTGTTACTTGAATTCAAAGATCGAAGCACAAAATATTGGGCATCGATCTCCAATTTCAAGTCATCGCCAACTTTCTTGAGGGCTACAAGAGTTTGCTGAACAATTTTAATCTTTTTTGGATCTTTGATCAAAGCCCTCATCTGAATTTTTGGAGGAAGTTCCTTTTGTCACGTTTTATCATCAATAAATAGAAATGGAAGAATTTTCGACATGATCATAACTAATTGGAAAGAGTTGAAAGCATCAACTATTAGATATTCAGAACATTCAAGAAATAAAAGATTTTCCACGCTGATTGAGAAGGTTTCTTGATTCCAGTTTCGAAGATTCTAATGCAACACACAATGCATATATGTGATATGATATATGTTTATATAGTATTGATGTCAATGCTCTATTATTCATGTCCTGATCCAGTTTTTTTCTAACATTAGAAGTGTTTTAGATCAAACACAGCATGCGACATTTAAGTATTAGTAGTATTGATTTCATATGTACCCAAAGCGCCGTCGAAATCCGCGATTTTTTCAGAGCTCTAGATTTCGGAATCTTGAAGAAATACTTAAGGGTGCACCCGTATGTACGTTTATTTGAGAGGAGGAGGATTACCCTCTCAATTTTGAGGGATTCGTTAGTTTATTTTCTCGATGAATATGCAATAAAATTTGATTTTTACCTTATCAATATACTTCATATAATATACACATGTTCATGTAAAAACTTTTTTCCAAAATCATCAGTAGGGTTGTTAAAAATATCAAAAATTAGCGTTTTGAAGACACCATGGTGTCTTATAATTTTCCCTTCCTTATTGGCGTGTAGAAATAAATGCGCCAATAGATTGAAGAAGAAGAATTGTTTTTCTCTTAATGAACTTTAATCCTTTTGATATAAGAATATTAAAAACATTAATATAATTTCGATTTCGGAAATTAAATTTCCAAATTTTTTGTCGATTTCCGAAATAACAGGATCCCGCATCCAACACGCAACAACAAAACACAAAACACACTTTTTGGTTCTTTCATCGTTTTAATCGTAATTTATGTAATACATGATTTGGATAAATTTTACAAAAATAGAACATATATTATATTCTTTTCAAAGAATCTTGCAAATCATCAAAAATAATTGTATTTTAAAAAACGATCAAATTATCCTTTCATTATTTTAAACTTAAATTAGTTTTTATGATTGACTAAAGCAATCATATTTATTCATCATTAAATAAACAAAAAAATAATATTTGAGAGTTATTTCAAAAAAAAACATTGAATTTATTAATTTGTCTCAATTTCAGTATTATAAATTTTTATAATTTCAATATTTTGAAATACACTTTTTAATATTTCAATATTTATGATATTTCAATGTATTAAGTGGTCTCAAATTGAGCTTCTCAAATATAAGTTGGCCTATTCAAATAATAAAATTAAATAATATTTAAAATAATAAATAAAAGTGATTGAGGTCATAGCAAAACGGCTGTTTCAGTCATTAATTCTTAAAAATAAAAAGGGTAAAAACTAAATAAAATGGGTAAAATTCAATAGTGTCTGTGCTATCGTTCAATTTGAAGGTGTCTTTTGAAACCGCAAGAAACATTGAATTTTTGAATAGTGTATTATGGTTTGACAGACACCAATGAAAAAAATAAAATGATATTTATTTTAAATATATAAGATCCTTATATAAAATATAAATATTTTATCGTTTTATTTTCTTGTTTTAGAAATGTTTTTTATTGAAAAATCAATAAAACTAACTCCAAAATAAAATTTTTGATTTAAAGACACTATGATGACACCAGGCAAATCTTCCAAGACACCTATCGTCGGGAATCTAACAACCCTAATCCTCAGGAATTAAGGGATTTTTGAATTTTAAGAATTTTTTTCGAATTTTTTCGAAAAAAATATATTTTCAGAACAGCCTTAACGGCTAAGATTTAGGAACAATGTTAAGTATCAAAAAGAAAGGAGGTCTGATATAGACAACATATATCGTTGAAGGTTGAAAAAATCTCTAATATTTGAGCCCAAAATTTCAAATTTTAATTTTTTGAAAAAAGAGGCCACCCGTATGTACGTTTATTTGAGAGGAGGAGGATTATATTTTTGAAAGGGTGAAACATTATGAATATGTTAATTATATAATAATATGTATTATTATAAAAAAGAAAAAATAAAGCACGTTAAAATTTTTCTTTCTTGATTTTTTACAAAATCTACTTAGAATTATGCAAAATATGACTAAATAATTATAAATTTCAAGTTAAATTTTAATTTTGATAAATAATTTAAATTTCAAAATATCAAGTTCAGTTCGACTATGTATGTAGTAATTCCTCAATAAAGTGCCAAAACCCTATTAAAATATATGAACATTTTCAACATTTTAATGTTTTTATTTAAAAATTTGTTGGAATATGAGCTTCAAACAATTATTATGTAAATAAAAATAATTAAATATATGTATTTATTCGTATTACAACCGTAGTAAGTCGATTCTTCCTTTCTTCTACTGAGTTTTGAATTTGATTTCGAATTGTAAAGAGATTCAAAGGGAAAATACTAGCGGATAAAAACTACCTCCATGAAAGGGTCATAATGGAGTCAAGTTGTATTTTTTGATACTTTTTGCTTTTCGAGCCTAAATAGGTAGCCAAGATAATGCCTAAAAATAAGGTTCTAAATTCTGAAGTTTACATGATCCTCTCGTGTGCACCCTTAATATGTCATAGATTTTGCTATGCATTCACATTGTACACATATTTCTCTGCATATTTTGCGGCATAAGTAGCTATTTATTTCAAACATATATCGTAGAAAATCGAAAAAAAAGATACCAAGGAAAGAAAAATTTTAGTGCCAGATTTCTGGAAACGGCGCAATTATATAATGTTCCACTTCTTTCCGACACTTTTTTTGAAAAATATTTGATCGGATCCCAAAAAGTTACACAGGCAGCATTCTGAATCGGTTTTGTCGAGCAAAAAGTAGCATGTGATCTGTCTTGACTTCACAATACAGAAAATGTCAAAAATTGATATACGAAGAACGATATAAATTTGTTTGGTCGAAAGTCATTGAAAAAGAAACTTTTTCAAATATGATTTCTGATTTTGGTTTAATAAAAGCCATAATCAATGGAAAAAAAATAGTCAAATCTGAAATTTGAATTCATTTCTCAAAAATTGAATAACTTCTTCAAACATTGGTCCAATTCTTTCATAATATTTTCAAACTCCTTATTTCCAACTATTCCATATTTAATTGAAAAAGAGAGAAAAGAAAAAGCATTCAATGGGAGGTTGTCTTTCCTCTGACTCCGACGTTCCAAAGTCCAAGCCACAGCCAGCCCCACAACCATCTTCAAATCAACAAGCCGCATCTGGAAAGGGCGCTACCAAATTTGCTGTTCCAACGGGAGCTCCAACAAAGAAAATCAACATCACGCCTAAGCGTGCAGTTGGTGTGTCCAATTCTGCAGATGAAGATGCATTTAAGATTTGTATTGTAGGTGCTGGTGAATCCGGTAAAACTACGTTTACCCGAAATATGGTTCTCAATTATCTTGGTGGCATCAATGATAAAGACAGAAGATCCGAAATTGTTACAATTCGTGGCAACATGATTGATGCCATTAAAGATTTAATAAAATTTGTTCAAAGCGAAGGCCTTGAAAGCGAACTTCCTGATGATGAAGAAGAGTTCATCCAAAATCTTCTCGATGTCGATGCTTTCGATGCAGATTTCTCAGAACTTGCCGCTGGATTACATAAAATATGGAATTGCGACGTCATTCAAAAAGCATATTACCACACCAGCCAAGTTGTTGTACCCGATAACATGGATTATTTCTTCGAAAAGTACCTCGAAATCGCCAAAGAAGACTACGTTCCCACAGATGGCGATCTCCTTCGCGTTCGAGTCAGAACAATTGGTATCAAACCGATGGTTTTCGATCTAGAGGGAGCAAGATTCCAATTGACCGATGTCGGTGGCCAAATATGCGAAAGAAAGAATTGGCAAAAGGTCCTTGAGGGAACAGAAGCAGTGATATTTGCATTCTCTTTGGCTGAATTTGACCGTAAAATGTTCGAAAAACCAGAAGAATTAAGAATTGACGATTCAATTAAACTTTTCGAAGCCACAGTCAACGGAGAGACATGCTCTGAATGCCCAATTTACTTAGTCGGTAATAAGTACGAGAAATTCTGCAAGAAGATCCAAGAAACAGACGCTTTCGGAGCTGCATTTCCGGATTTCCAAGGAAATATACACGATCCATTAGCTACTTCAGAATACTTGTTTAAATTGTTCAAAGATAAAATGGTTCAGAACGGTTCTGAATACCACACATTCCAGACCTTCACAATGACAGCTATTGACTCACAATCTGTTATAAAGGTAGCGGAATCTGTATTTGAGGACCTTAATAGAAGATTCTTCTGTGATTAAAGCATGAATAGAATAATTTTTTTTTTAATTATTGTATCGGAAGAATATTTGTTTTCAAAAGTCGGAGGAATTATATCGATTAGATCTTGTTTCTACTTGTATGTGTTTTGGTATTATAATTATCTTTTGTATCTAATTAACAAAACAAAGATAAGAAACATTCATTTAGTATGTCTTATCTGTTGAAAAAGAAAGAGATAATATTTTCTTTGGCGTGAAAGCTATAATCAAATTCAAAATTCAAAACATCGAAAAAACAAAATTGGTGTATCTGGGAGTACCCCCTTGCTTAAGTGCTGATATTTATTGCATTTCTAGTCTTGAATAGTATTTGTTTATGAACTTTTCCTTGAGACTGTATGTTTGTAAACTTCATAATTCTTTAAGGTAATTATGGCACTTTTCGTCAAATTAATATCTCATCAATTTTTTTATTATTTCATCTAAATGTTTTGAAAATCTTATAATACATTGTATAAGAAATAAAATTATTACAATAAAATAGCATGTTTGTTCTGGCAAAGTTAAATTTTCTATCTTTTGAATTTATGTATTCAGAATTATCGTCTACAAAATGTGTTATTGTCAGTATATTTTCACCCCATTATAAATTCTGAGTGTATTTAAAAAATTGAGATTCAATTCAAATTCATTTGGTGAAAAATAATGTTTTCTTTTCTTGTGTCTAGCGCACTCTCATTGAAAAGGGAACCTACTAAACCATTTGTAATATAGCCTAGTAAAGAAGTCGAAGGCGGGGGCTGTTATAGAATTCCTTCTGCTGTTACAACTGCCAAAGGAACAGTAATTGCTTTAGCGGATTATAGACCAAATAACTGTGGTGACTTAAACGGAAACAATAATATCAAAATTGTAGCAAAATACAGTTATGATAATGGTATGACATGGTCTGATAAGAAATTTATTGCAGCATATGAAAGTGGAAAGTCCTGTTCCGACAGTTCTACAATTCTAAATACGCAAACAGGTGAAATTGTTCTTTTCTACAACTTCATGGATTATTCCGCATATGGTATTTACAGACAACATGTTAGATTCTCAAGTGATGATGGTGAAACATGGAGTGATCCTATTGACATCACAGACCAAATTGCTCCACCAAATTCTGAAAAAGCCTTCAAATTCATTACATCTGGTAAGGCTACTCAAGCTAGAAACGGCAATTTATACCAAACACTTGTCGATGTTTCAATAGGAAAGGTTTATTTAATTGAATCCAAGAATGGTGGAAGAAATTGGACAAGAATCGATATTGGTGTTTCTCCAGCTGACGAAACAACAGTTGCTGCACTTGACACAGGTAATGTGTTACTTAACGCACGCACAAATCAAGGCTGTCGTTACTTATTTGAAATAGACCCTGTCAACAAGGTTCTTGTTAGGTCTGAGAAGAGGACAGATTTACCAGATCCAACATGTGATGCTTCATTCATGAGATATGACTATGGAAAATCAAGTATTCTTTTCTTCGCAAACTGCCACTCAAATTGGGGAAGAAAGAATATGTCTATCAAGTATTCACTTGATAACGGAAGAACTTTCACTGGAGGTAAAACAGTCTATCCAAATAATGGAGGTTATTCTGCAATAACTGTTGCACCAAATACAGACATTGTCTATCATTATGAATACCCAGATGGTAATGGCCTTGCCGTTCAAGTATTGCCTATGGACTGGGGAATGGATCAGTAAAAATTGAATAAAAATTTAATATCTCTTTTGAAATAATTATATAATATTTTTCTCTCTATTTTCAGTTTCGCTAAGCTATGGGAAAATGTGTGTAATAATATTCATAACATTTCAATTTCCGAAATAAATTGTGTGTTGAACCCAAATAAATGGGGTATTATTATTGTCGTCTGGCGGTTTTAGACGACAATGCGAATTTTCAAATAATAGGATTTTTAGCCAGATAAAGAGCTACTCCATATATCATGCGTGTTTGCATACTATATACATAGATGGAATTGATGTTCTTCCTTTATTTAGGTACCGAAACATGCTTGAAAAATCTATTTTTTAGACGACAATGATAATTTTGTCACTTTTCCAGACGACAATAATAATTTGTCACCTTTTTAGACGACAATAATGATTTTGTCACTTTTTCCAGACGACAATAAAACATCCTCCAAATAAATAGACTACCGATATGTTTTCTAACAAAAAGAAAATAAGAATACAAATAACATAGAATTCATCTTGAGAAAATATAAATTATTAACCATACAAAAAGCCCCGCAATTAGACCGAGTTTGACAGATCTGTCATTCAAGCAGCATCCCCAAATTAAGATGAAGAATGGACCACCAATAACTGCAAGAATAAAACCTGAAATAAAATAGCGTAAATTGATAAATTCTCTTGCATTTATGCCAGTATTATGCCTTAGCAATGCAATATTACGAAAATGTTCCTCAAACATGTTTTGCAGTTGATTTGGAAAATCCAAATCATTGGGAAGATTAATTTCATCAAAATTAGTATCACTGTAATCATATAAATTTGTGTTTTCATCTGAAACAATAGGATTCCATAAAACATTAATCAAAAATTCTTTTTCTTTAGTTTTAGATGAAAGTAATTCATCGGATTCATATATATCTCCATCTTTTATTAAGTATGCGCTTGCTTCATCAGGTTTCGGAATCGAATTATCGGATAATATCAAATCAATAAATGATTTAGCTGTTGTATGTTGATCTAAAACAAAGCGCTTGCGATTCATGTCTTCAAATGATGCAGTAATAATTAATTTTGATGAATCTATTGAATAATCTTTCATGATACCTTAAGAAAAATTAAAACCAATGAATTAAAATAGCAGATAGTCTGACTATCTGAGTAATGTGGAGCAGCACCTCTGTTTTATTTTGAGAGAGTTTTCACATTTTCTGAAGAATTGAAAACCCTAGTTTTTGTCAATAGATATTCCTAAAATGAAGTCGCTAATCACATAAGATACTAAACATTTATTCAAGAATTTAGAGAGCAAATAGCCAGTTATTCCAAATTTATCTGGATGAAAGTTTAACTCGGAATTCATGCAAGGAAAATATTCTGAATTAGTCAGGCCCAGATAAAGTTATGCAAAAACAAATGAAAATATTTTGTTCTCCATAACATATAGCGATGTTTTAAGGGTCCACTGTAAGGCCAAATAAGGTCTATCGTCGTCCCAAAAATATTGCTCGAGATGGTGTTTTACTAAGGCCCAAAACTTAAAAAAACTCAAAAAAATTAACTTTACTCTTTTGAGATCCTTATCAGATATGCATCAATTTGATGCAGTATCGCAGTTCGAATCTGATTTTTTAATGTAGATATACTCTAACATTCTTGAAAAAATGCAAAATAATATTAATTAAGCTTTTCATTTCTGTATCATACACGAAACAAAATCATTCATTATACTAAACTTTATCAAAGTTTGAATAATGAAAAAAAAAATATATCTAAATTTTTACATTGAGTCTGCTATTGATATGGTTAATATTAAATCTTGTAACAACGGGCATTGGCCAAAATAATACCCACTAAAATACACAATTTTTTAAAATTTTATCAATTTGTTATGGGTGCAGGGGCGGCGACAAATTTGCCCAGCCAGTAAAGTATTCAATTTTTTTTGCATTTTTTAAGGGTGCACACGAGAGGATCATGTAAACTTCAGAATTTAGCTTCTTAACTTAAATCATGGAATGTCTCAAAGACAAAAGTAGCATACAGCATGTAAAGCTAAAGAAAGATAATCATAATTAATACCTTAATTTTTAATATTACGCATTTTTAGGTGCAAAATTTAAAAACATTCTAATACAATAGAGCAGTTTCCAAAAGTAGCATACAGCATGCAAAGCTAAAGAAAGATAATCATAATTAATACCTTAATTTTTAATATTACGCATTTTTAGGTGCAAAATTTAAAAACATTCTAATACAATAGAGCAGTTTCCAAAAGTAGCATACAGCATGCAAAGCTAAAGAAAGATAATCATAATTAATACCTTAATTTTTAATATTACGCATTTTTAGGTGCAAAATTTAAAAACATTCTAATACAATAGAGCAGTTTCCAAAAGTAGCATACAGCATGCAAAGCTAAAGAAAGATAATCATAATTAATACCTTTAAAGTTTAAAATCTTGATTTTTTTTAAAATCAAATATTTATAACTTTAATACATACAGCTTAAACCTTATACTTGTTTTCTCTTGTGAGAAAGCAATCTTACAAAGCTAACAATCCTAAAAAATAAAGAATTAAAATTTAATAATTTAATCTAAAATTAAAATCAAAATTAAATAAAATGAGTTCTTTGTAATAATACTTTCAAGGTAGGATATATTTTAGTGGGATCTATTGAGTCATCACTAACAGCATTGAGCAATCTATTGAGCATTGAAATACTCTCGATTTTTCTTTGTCTTTTTACATCAATTTCTGCGTTAGTTGCTTTTTCCATGATCCTAATGACACGGTCATCTGCTGGATTTTGATCAATTTTGAGTTTGATAACGAAAGATGGTATCACTTTTGTATAAATTTCTATAATAACATCATCAATTCTGAGATTTTTTCGATCAGGAAAATAGTCATGTTTGAGTGTTCTAAAATGAGCTTCGGCAATATTGTTAGTTGCGTCGCCTTCACGCCTGTCACGAGCAATCCATCTTGATATGTTGTAACGCCATTGTCTGTTAAAGTATTGAGATGCTGTTGGATCTGTGTCGAGCAACTCCAGAACTTGATCATAGGCAGCATTTGCTTCTTCCTCATGTTCTGCATCTAATTTGAAGACTAAATCCTTCATCAAATTATAGAATTGTTCAAATTTTTCTTGAGAAGAAAACTTATTTGATTTGCGAAGAATTGCACGAAGAACATGTACTCCGCACCAAAGTATTTGAGCTTGTGGAATGCTTTCTTCTATTGCTTGAGCTATCTGTGGAGCACAGTCCATGCTAATGTATTCTGGCTCAATTGTTACCCATCTGAGATAGGCGCACACGCAAACTTGAATGTTTTGATAAGTGTCTGGTTGACAAAAGAAATATAAAAAAGGGAAAATGTGAAAATCTTTGATTTTGCCAGTAAATGCATACAATGGAATGTTTGATCGCAACAATTTATAGGTGCTGTCTATATGAAATGTCTTGATACTATGCGCATAAGCTTTGCCTTCAAAAGGCGCGTAATAGAAACACATATTATTGTCTGAGACTTCAAATGCAATGAGATCATCTGGAGATTCTTCTTGTACTGTCTGAACAAAGATTTGCAATGACACAACATCGTCAGGAGAATATCTAGTTTGAAGAGCATGTATTCTCTCTGCAAATCGTTTGATTGCACGTGGTTTTTGAGCGTACATCTCTGGAATGGACGGACCTGTAAGAGGAATTTCAAGATCTTTGAATGCATTTAGCTGTGCTATCGCTCTTTGATTGTCATCTGTTTGGAAGTAATGTTCTAAATATTTGCGATAAAAGACAGACGAATATTGACTTTTATCATTTGGGGCGGAATGATCATGTTCTTCAACTATTTTGATTAGTTTGTATTTATTTTGATCCAAGATTGCAACATTAAAATGTGCAGGACATTTTGGATATTTGCAGTGGAATGAAATCTGAGATCTTTCTTTCCTGACACGTTCACCATATCCATACTGTGCTTGTATTTCTTGTTTAACTCCAAATTTACAAAGATCCATAACAGTAAAGATGGTTTCTTCTTCTAATTCCATTTGAAATTGAAATGAAAATTAAAAATTCAGAAATTTGAATAGATTTGGTCTGTAATTAAATGAGAATAGCAGTTTGTTCGTCATTGTTTGAGGCAAGAGTATTATAGGAATATTATATGATGGATTTGAGTTGCATATAAAGAGTGCAAAAGGATAAAGAGAGAAATTTTGTTAGATTAAATTATTAAATTTTAATTCTTTATTTTTTAGGATTGTTAGCTTTGTAAGATTGCTTTCTCACAAGAGAAAACAAGTATAAGGTTTAAGCTGTATGTATTAAAGTTATAAATATTTGATTTTAAAAAAAATCAAGATTTTAAACTTTAAAGGTATTAATTATGATTATCTTTCTTTAGCTTTGCATGCTGTATGCTACTTTTGTCTTTGAGACATTCCATGATTTAAGTTAAGAAGCTTTAAAAAAAAAGCAAAAAAAATGTAATAAAATAAAATATTTTTTAGTATCGATAATCTGAAATATGTTGTTTACTTAAGCCGCGAGCGAAGCGAGGGGCTTAGTTTCGTAATTTCGTACAATTATTTTTATGACAATGAATAAAATGCTTATCCTTCATAAGTAAATACATAATTTATGCTTAAACACAAAAAATAACACGAAAATTTTTGGCCAACATAAGTAGTAGGATAGGAAGGGTTGTGTGACTTTTTTTGTTACATCTATATATAGACGATGCATTAAAATATATTTATTTATAAACGCATTAAAAAATTAACATTAATTTTAAAATAATTTATTTTTCATCTTTTATAAAAGAAGCTATATATAGATGATGTCAGATATTCCGCGATTAATTAAACATTGTTTAAATCCTGAATGGAATCAATGGAGTCATAATCAAAGACCTCATAAACGAGTAAAAGAAATTAGAAATAATTATTTTCATGAATAAAAGATTCACTACCATAATGAAATAAAAAAAAAATAAAAAATTTTTAAAAAATAAACTTTAAAAATTCATGTCTTACATTTTTGAATAATTTATTTTTATTTTGTATGAAATGAGCGTCAAGACTAACGACGTTAAAAAATTGGGATTCACAAATGAGGAAATAAAGGATATATTAGAGGAGGCGGGTTATGAGGTTGATAAATATTATTTAAGAAATTGTCAAAAATTCGCGGAGTTTTTAAATGAGTTTGATTATGATGGAAAAATGAATAAAGATGATGTTATAAATTTCTTATATCCCACATCTAAAGAAGAAAAACCTAAAGAACCTGATGTTTTCCCTGAATATTATGAAGAACGGATTAAAGATGATGATGAATACAATGAAATTGAAAGACTGAAAAAAATAAGAGATGAAATAGATGAAAGAATTAAGGAATTAAGAGAAGTTGAAAAATATAATGAAAATGAAGTAGAGGGTTTAATGAATATCCCAGCTTCAGAATCAGAAGTTCAGAAATCTCATGAAGAAAGATATAAAAATTATGTCTCAGAATCAACACAAAATTTATTAGATGGCGAAATAGATGAAACACTTTCAGAAGAAGGTACTAAATTTATTCGTAAACATAAGTTACAATTTATTGATAATGAAGAATACCCCTGTATCCTACTTTCACCACCTTTAGATTCCGAAAAATTCAAAAAAGCTCTTAAAAACGTGACATATGCAACTAATACGATTAAGAAAGAAGATCATGATATTTACACAAATTATTATTTAAATAAATGCACAGGTGTTGATAAAGTTTTTGATTTATTAGATAAAATATCAAAAGAAACCATTGGAACCTATAAAATTTTGTGTGATTGCGGTTTCATTGTTGAAGATACTAATAATGTTTCATATGAAAGAACAGCACCAAAGGAAGATGAAGTGGAAAAGTCTATACCATTCGTTATTAAGAATATAAAAGATATGAAAACGTATAAGCATTATATTTATTCATTTATTTCAGAAAAAATGGAAGCAACCCATAAAACATCTTCTCATCATTTTATAGCTATTCATACATTCCTTTTCAAAGTTGTGAAATTAAATAAGACAGGAATTAGATTTAATGTATCAGGGTACGCATTCTTGAGTAAATTAAAATGTATTCGTCACGTCGCAGATGATAAAAATTTATGTGTTCTTAATTCATTTTATGGGCTTTAAAAAATAAACTTTATTTTTATTTATTTTTTAATTTTTATTCTTACATAAATGAACAAAAACGGAACAGCTAAAATGAATGATAATCAAATTAGAGCAGAAGGTAGAAGGTTATTTAAACGCTTCTATAACATTCCTGATGGTGTTAATCCTAAAACTCGTAGAAGCTATTTAAATGAAGCAATAGATTCATATGAAGGGTTTGACATTTCATCAGAAAGTGAGAGATTAGCGAGAATGTTAAATGTTAATATTGATTTCTATTATTGTGATCCTCAACCAGAAGACGTGGACATAAATAAGGTAGACTTTCCATTAGTGGAATCAATAATGATAGATCCAGAATTTGAAACAGTAAATATTTTATTAACACAGAGTCCATGTGGAAAACTTCACGCTGACAGAATAACAGACGTAGAAGCACTCACCGGCTATAGAGTTTGTCCATATTGTAAAGAAGAAGTTTATTCTATCCGTGATGATCCAGAAAGGAAAAACCAAAGAAGATTTTTAAAGCATTGTGAGAAATGTAAAGAAAATAATGGAAGATTAATTCAAGACGTTCAGTTGCAAAAGACACAGCAACCATATGCACCACATATTACGAAACAGAAGATATATCAGTGGTTATTAGCTCATAATTTGCAGGAATATTATCAACCGACAAGATATTATATTACTTTTGACTTCGAAACATTAGAGACTAAAGAAGAATTACAACTTTCTGAGTGTGCAACTTTGAACGCTTACTTAAAACCATTCATGGTATCATCAACGGTTAAATTAAATGATAAAACATATACGAGGAATTTTTGCTTAACTTCGAGTGATTCTTTTATTTCTGATTGGATTGAGTTTTTATTTTCAACCTGTTCATTAGTTGCTAAATCAAATATTGAACAATATGAAGAATTAATGAAGTCACAAACATTAAATGAAAAACAGAAGGAAGCATTTAAAGAACTTCTAGATGAGGAATTCAATAAAGTGAATATCATAGGTTTTAATTCGGGAAAGTTTGATTTAAATTTAATTCTTCGTGATTTAAACACTGCAAAATGGAAAATAAAATCAATGCTGGGTTCATCTTCACAATTTAAGCAAATCATTGTAAAGAAAACAAACGTTCCATATGAATTGAGATTTATTGACATCAGAAATTATATAGCGGGTGGGACATTAGACCAATTCACTCAAGATTTCGGAAATAATAAAACACGTGTTAAATCCTTTTTCCCTTATCAATTCATCACATGGGAAAATTACGAAGAAGAATTATATAAAGAGAAACCATTCACTCAAGATTCATTTTATTCAGCATTAACCCAAGAAACTATATCAGATAGTGATTATCAAATATATCTCAATGATGCTAAAAATTTTAAGAATAGATTAGAATATTTTATTCATTATTGCAATAAAGATGTTGAAATTATGATTGACCCAATCGATAAAATTATTGAAGAAACATTTGTTTATAAAATTGACATGCTTCATAATCTTTCTTTATCATCGAATGCTTCAATGATTCGTTACGCTTTAGCATATAAAGACTTTAATCCTAATGAAAAATATCCTGAGGAAGAGATAGAATCAAGTTTTGAATTAACGAAAAAGTATTGGAAATATAAAATTGAATCATATAAGAAACAAGATGAAAAAGCAGAAAGAGATACTAAAAATAATGTTTCAATGGATGATTTTCAATACTATCACGATTTAATCCTTTCATCTAAATGCAAAATGTGTGGTAAAGCGTTTACATATGCAAATAAACCAACATTGGATAGAATCGATAATGAAAAACCACATACCAAAGAAAATTGTCAGTTAATGTGTTGTTATTGCAATGTCGTAAAATCAAATAAAGATGAAGATGTTCAACGTTTAAGAATCAATTTAAGAAATTATGCATTAAAAAATAATTTACCAATGACTTTAGATTCAGTTGAAGCTTATCACATTCTCCGTAATGGAATTACTGGTGGTTTATCAAATGTTCAACATAGAGTAAATCTTAAAGGAATCACGCACATTAATAAACTTTCATATAATCCAGAAACTAAAACTGTATCAAATGAGGACACCACCAACATTATGACTCATTTCGTTGGTGTTGATTTTAATTCATTATATCCTTCATCATTTTCATCTAATCCTCATGATTTCATTCAATATACTGACCATAAAATGTATATGCCGGGAAGATTGAATGGTGTTATCATTTGTGATACAGCAACAAAGAAAGCAAAAGCACTGGGAATTATTAGAAAGAAAAATACTTTATTCGTGGCTGAAGTAAAGGGTCACATTGATGAAAAATACATTAATTATTACATAAACTTTTTACCGATAATAAGAAACTTAGATATTATCACAGATGAAAAAACAATTGGCAGTTTTATGTATAATTACATGAAATCAAACAATCTACCAGTTGACCAGAAACAGAGGAAATTAACTCAATTAGCATCAACACACAACCAATATCAACCATTTTCTTCTTATTATCTTTGGTATCTAATAGACAGATTTCATTTTATCATCGATGATATTCAATCAATTTTAACATTTACTAAAAACACTTGTTTTAATGAATTTGCGAACAAATTTATGAACGAAAGACAAAAGGCTGAATTAGAAGGAAATAAAGGAAAAAGTTTATTTTGCAAGATTTCGCTTAATGGATCATATGGTTACGATGCAATGAATACACAAAATTACGCAAAGACTAAAATAATGAATGCACAGAAGGCACGCGTTGCATGTATGTCAAATAAGTTTAAAAACATAAGAGAAATAGGTGAAGATACATATCAAGTGATGCTTAAAGATAGATTTTATAGATGTGAAACATGTTTACAAGAGGCATTCTTCACTTTAGATAATGCTAAATACTGGTATTTGGTTTTCATTTATGATTTTATGTATAAATGCATGAATCTTAATCGTTTTCATTTCATTGAAGGTGATACTGATTCATCTTATTGGGCAATCGCTGGCGACCCAAATCTTCCTAACACTCAAGCATTTCAAGCAATTGTTACTGATAAACAATTTTATGATAAAAACATTTTCAAATTCGCACCTTTTGATTTCTTCTGTTTTGATGAGAAATTTAAACCTAAATTAAAGAATAAAGCTGAAGAAAAAGCACATGAGAAGAAGTTATTGGGTTTAGCAATTGAGAAACAAGGCGATAACATGGTTGCTTTATGTCCTAAGTGTTATACATCATTCAACGGTTCAATTGATGGGGGTGATTTTAAAAAGATTGCACAAAAAATGAAAGGTGTTAGTTTACGACAAAATAAGCAATTAACACCTAAAAAATATTTGGATATAATAAATGATAAATTGATATTTGATGGTCAGAATATTAATTTACAACTTAAAAATGGGTCAATGACTCGCTTAACAATCGGTAAGACTGCATTAACAGGAGCACACACTAAGGCTGTATGTTGTGAAAATGGATGTTGTATGCCATTTATTTAATACAATTTAAAATTTTATTTTTAATAAAATGCCACAGAAGAGACAAAAGGAACCAAATCGATTTATACCAAATGGTTTTAACTTTCAGATTCCAAATAATCAACCACAACGAATTTTTTAAATCCCATCACAGCATCAACAGCAACAACAACCGCCACCATTTGATACCGTTTTAGAAGAAGGAACCGTTAATGATGGGATTCAATATGTAAATAATGGTTTTGATACTATGATTCAAAGAGGTGGGCACCCTTAAAACATTGATTTTATTTTTATATAAATGGATAACACAGATTTAAAAAATTTAATTTATGATTTAGTACTTAATCAAAATTTTCTTACTTATTATGATTTAAAAGCATATCTCCAAAAATATGATAACAATATAACGGGTGATGATATGGAATATTATTATCCATATTATAAAAATAAAATTTTGAAATATCATGATAGAATAATTTCTAAAATTAAAGACAAAATTAAAAATAATGAATATTCAAAGGGAAAAACTAAATCACAACTTAAACAGTTGAAAGATTTCAAAAATAAAGTATTAACAGAAGAAGATATTAATGAATTATATAAATTATATAATCCTGAGCCGCAAAAGCCAAAGGAACAAAAACAAAAGGTGCAAAACACCCAGGTCCTTCAGACCATAAATGAAGCACAAGCTTTAATTTATGATTCATTAGTTAAACCATATTCAGCCCGACTTTTAAATGAAGATCAACTTTTGGAATTCATCCTTCAACATAAACTCGAAGCGGGAAAGTATATCAAACCTTTATATACAGCATATTTAAAACAAATGAATAGAATACATCCAGAATTAATGAAGGAAGGAATGAAATCCAAAATCAAAGCAGATAAAATTAAACCACTTGCAACACCAAAACCTCCAACGACAGTACCGCCTCCTCCTTCAGTTAATCCTTCATCATTCACTTTATTATATCCATTTCAAACATTAAAGAAGCAAAAAGATTTTAAAAAGGATTTCAAGATATTAAATAAACCAATTGACCCGAAAATTCAACCGTTAAAGGAAAAATTTAGTCGCCATTCATTTGCACCATATCCATATTCATACGAAATAGATCATCTGGAATATTCAAAAGGAAAAGTTACTTATTTATTTGCCATTAACATTAACACTAGATATTTATATTGCATTCCAGTGAAAGGGAAAACAGAACAGGAAACAAGAAGAGCTATACAATACTTACTAGATCATGAAAGAGTAGATAATATCAGGGGTGATGGTGATAAAGGATTTCAGGCAACTATGACTCATTATTTCCCACAAATTAATTTTTTCTTTTCATCCTCTCCATATACGTTTCATAATAAAATAGTTGATGCAGTAATGAAAACTCTTAGAGATGCGTTAGGGGTTAACGGTCAGATATACTGGGATGGAAATCATGACTCCATCATACAGCAGTTAGTATATTATTATAATAATACATGGCATAGAACTATAAACATGAAACCGGTGGAAATGAAAAATGATATTTCAAAAGAATGGGAATATATTAGAAAGCAAATGGAAAGGTTAAATGATGTTAAACGTGAACAAATTAATTCGGGGCTCATGAATTTTAAACAAGGGGATAAAGTTTTGATTCATCTCGATTATGGAAAAACTGATAAATCAATGACAAAAAGAAGACGAAGATTTGACACAATAGCTGAATTTGTTAGATATATTAACGGCAATGCATTAGTTGAAGTTGACAATAAATTAATAGAAATTCCGATTTATTTTATTACTCCATTATATTTAAATAATATTTAATTTTTTTATTTCGTAAGAAATGAGTGACAACGAAGCAGCCAAGAGTCCAGACGATGAATATAAAAAGAAACTAAACAGAATTAAATCAAAAATATGCTATTACAAAAAGAAGCCGCAATGCGGTGGGGTTGATGCCCATAAAACTAATGGAACTGAAAACGATAAGGAAATAATCGAAAAATTAGAAACTTACCGTTCAATCCTTAAACTGAGTGAAGCAAAAATAAAAGAATTTAATAGAATAAATAAATTGATTGGAAGAGATGAATTTAATAAAGATGAATTTTTAAACTCTATCCAAATTTAATTTTTTCAGTGCTACCATGTTACCATGTGCTACCAGGTTAATTAACTTCTCTGAAAAAATGAGACAACATGACATTTTGACAACACAGCAGGAGGAAGGCAGTTATGAATTATTTTTGAAGAACTGAAGGTGCTACCATGTTACCATGTGCTACTAGGTTAATTAACTTCTCTGAAAAAATGAGACAACATGACATTTTGACAACACAGCAGGAAATATATTTTATCGTAAATGTTTTGTCATGATTTCATCGTAAACTCTATGTCAAACATGAACGTATATGTTTTGTCATGACTTCATCGTAATGAGCGTAAACTCTATGTCAAGACTTCTTCGTATATGTTTTGTCAAGACTTCTTCATCGTAATGAGTGTAAATGACCCAAAAATAATGTTTAGGGTAGATGGTTAGATCTAACCTGATATCTACCCTCATTTCTAACCTCATTTCTACCCTCAAGATTTACAAACGTTTAACGTGATATACGTTATGAATTTTCATGAATTTTATATATTAATGTTTTCGTTAAGCCACTTTGTGCCGTCAGTCAGTCAGTCAGTCAGTTTAGGAAAGACTTTAGAAAGTTGTTGGAAAATAAGTCCTGGGAAGAGTATTATAAGGCATTTTGTGAAGAATATAGCAACCGCCGGAATTCAGACGGTTGTTTTTTTATACAAAATTCATGCAGGAAATTCTTGAGTTTTGGTTGAAAGAATACGGTCGAGCCACTTTTGGCTCCACCTCAAAACAAGCATTTTATGAGCTTACTAAGGGCGTTATAAATGAATTCAAAGGTATTTACATACATCCTGACCTCGTTCATTTTGTTGCTGAATTCAGCAAAAATAATGTTTAGGGTAGATGGTTAGATCTAACCTGATATCTACCCTCATGAATTTTCATGAATTTCCTTAAGACAGAAGAAATAAAGTTAGTTTTAAAATTATTTTTATTTTTTTATTCCTATATAAATGACAGCAACAAACAACAGCAGCAACTTTATCGTTTCTGATGAACAAGTTATTGATTCATTAGCTGAGGAATTAGTTGTGGCAGAAACTAAAACCCTCAACGAAAGAATTGGTGAAAACAAGATTGATTTACATAACTACCTCAAACACGATGGAGGAAGAGGAAGGAAAACTGGTATGGCTTTATTAGTAAATAAAATATCAAATTTAACGATTATAGATGTTGATATCAATAAATCATACAATGATGAACTTAAAGAAACAGTTAGAAAAGACATTTTATCAAAACTTTCGGATAAAGATGTTATCGTTAAAACCGCTTCAGGAGGTCTTCACATTTATTGCAACATTTAATCATTCTATTCAACCTCGAACAGAATGATTAAATGTTATTCTTGCAATGATTATGATATTGATATAATGACTTCTATGGATGATTCAAAGCGTTCTTTAGTGGTTATGGCTGATTCAAGAGTTCGCAAGAATGCAACAGAACCAATCAATACATACTCATTCATTCGTGGAAGTTATGATTCAACATTAACCAGAACAGTGAATGATATATTAAATGATTTGAATATTAAGGTAAGAGTTGAACAGAAGAACGAAGAAATAAAGAGTATAATGAATGAAAACAAAGATGTAAACATTGACGATAAACTTGCCCAGAGCATAGTTGATGGCATCAGTGATTTTGAAGTACATAATGACGGTGGAAACATGAATTTGGAAAAAGAAATAACATTATTCACACTGTTTCAAGCAATTAATTCGTTACCTAATCATTTAATTAATGAAGCATACGATAACGTTTATAACTTCTGCAATTTAACTGAAAATGCAAAAAGTAATTTTGAAAAAGCACGTAGTAGATATGCACATTTAATGACTTCTCCATTTGTTTTAGTGAAGATTCTAAAACTATATCAAAAGGAATATTATGATGAATATGTTTTACCTTTATTACGTAAGCCAAAAATAACATTTGATATCAAACTTGATGACTCGTTTTTGATAACAGATATTAGACGCAAGGCTGAAAATCATCAGTATAAAAACAGTTCTGAAGTAATTGAGGATTTATCACGTGTAATCCGTTTTGTAGATTATGGAAACAAATACTTCATTCAAAAGGACTATAATATCCACGATAAAATGAATCAAATATCATTCGTTCTTCAATCAAACATGAAAGAGTCACTTAAAATGATTAAATTATTTAAAGAAGAAGGTAAAACAATAACAGCATGGGACGTACTACTAAATCAATTGTCTTCATTAACTGTTAAGGGTGTTTGCTTTAAATCTGATTCCCCAGATGTTTTCTCAACGTTTCAAGGTTATAAATACAACGTTCTCGAAAAGCCTGATTACTCAAAAATTGAGATGTTTATGAATTTCATTAAAGAAGCCATTTGTGATAATAATGATGAAGTGTATAAATACCTACTCGGCTGGATTGCATCAATGATTCAACATCCTGGAATCAAGAATGAAACAGCAATTATTTTGAAAGGACTTCAGGGAACAGGTAAAAACAGATTCACAGACATTATTTCTGAACTTCTCGCCGGTTATTCATGTAAAAACATTACTGAAATAAGTGAGCTAACGGGTAATTTCAATTCAGTAGTTGAGAATAAAATGTTTCTTGTACTTAATGAACTCAAGAATGTAGGTGAAGACAGACTCGCAAACTTCAACGCTTTGAAATCAATTATAACGGATAATGAGATAAGAATTAATGAAAAGAATCAACCCAGAAGAACTGCTCAGAACGTTGCAAACTTCATTTTCGTAACTAATAACGTCTACCCTGTCAAAATTGAAGTTGGAGACAGAAGATACGTAGTTTTAAGAGTTAATGGTAAATTCAAGGGTCAATTTGATTACTTCAAGAATTTAATGGATTCATGCACAAAGGAATTTTATGATAACCTTTTAACATATTTTATCAATTACGACCTTTCATCATTTAATGTACGAATCATTCCGATGACTGAAGCCAAACAAGATTTAATAGAATTATCAACAAATCCTTTAGATGTATGGATAAATACACATTATGATGAATTGTGTGCGGGTATGACGTGTAAAAATGCTCTATTCTGCAAACCATCAGACATGAAAGACAAGAATTTTCAAATGAGCATTAAGGATAAATGTGATAGGAAACATAGAAGAATAGACGATAAACAAACATGGTGTTATGTTTTGAAAGAAGAAATGAAAGGATTATATAAACAGGTTGAACCAAACGATAATGAGGATTCATTTACTGACGATGAAATACCTGTAAATGATGCTTTATAAAGTATGATTGGAATTTATTTTTGCATTAATCCTGCTGTGTTGTCAAAATGTCATGTTGTCTCATTTTTTCAGAGAAGTTAATTAACCTGGTAGCACATGGTAACATGGTAGCACCTTCAGTTCTTCAAAAATAATTCATAACTGCCTTCCTCCTGTGTTGTTGTCAAAATGTCATGTTGTCTCATTTTTTCAGAGAAGTTAATTAACCTGGTAGCACATGGTAACATGGTAGCACCTTCAGTTCTTCAAAAATAATTCATAACTGCCTTCCTCCTGTGTTGTTGTCAAAATGTCATGTTGTCTCATTTTTTCAGAGAAGTTAATTAACCTGGTAGCACATGGTAACATGGTAGCACCTTCAGTTCTTCAAAAATAATTCATAACTGCCTTCCTCCTGTGTTGTTGTCAAAATGTCATGTTGTCTCATTTTTTCAGAGAAGTTAATTAACCTGGTAGCACATGGTAACATGGTAGCACCTTCAGTTCTTCAAAAATAATTCATAACTGCCTTCCTCCTGTGTTGTTGTCAAAATGTCATGTTGTCTCATTTTTTCAGAGAAGTTAATTAACCTGGTAGCACATGGTAACATGGTAGCACCTTCAGTTCTTCAAAAATAATTAATTATTGAATAACCTAAAAACCATGAGACTTTGTCTCCGGACTCTTTGAGTCACTTAACGTAAACATTATTTCTGCAGTTCATTCATTACTTCATTACCTAATTAATTACAGACATAAAATATATTTAGTTCATTCGGTAAGCCTGCAAAGTAGGCTCAAGTGTGTTTATTGAACGCGGTACCATGCGAATACAGTCACAAATGGTGGCATGTAATCTTTACCCGAGCCTGTTGGATTTGTTGTGAAAGTGTGTGAATGATTACCTGTGGTTCCACAGAAAATACCTGTGCTTGAATCTACTGGGTCAGTTGTGATATCATATCTATTCATTCCCCATCTATCCGAACCCGCTGCAAGATTTGTATAACCTCTTTTTGTTATTGAATGTGAATGATTTCCTGTTGTGTTTGTCGTTCCTGTATGAGTGTGCGGTGGAAGGTTTGCTTCTTTAATTTTCTTCGAACCTCCTGTTTGCTTTGAATATCTAGCACAGTATAAGAATTTATCTACAATCTGCTTCCACGTACCAAAACCTAAAACTGTTGATGGATTTGTTGAGTTCATTGACGTATAAATAGAACCAACAGGATATAATGTTTGAAGTATTTCATTTTTCATGCTTGTAATCACATCATTTACTTCCGACTTCTTTGCATAATTTTCATCTACATAAGTTTTATCTGCTTTAAGGTCTAAACATCCTGAAACCCATTCTGTATCGGCTTTAACTTTAAAAGTCTCAAATGTCCATTCATGATACCATTCAACCTTTTCTTTAATTTCATTATCTTTTTCATCAACATAAACCAAATTTGCCTTCTTCTCTAACTCACTATCCACATATTCCTTATCCACCTTCTTCATTATGTCATTTAGGAAACCTTCTATGAATTCCTCATTTAAATTAAATCTTCCAATCTTCAAAACTTTAGGAAATGCATTTAATGCGTAATATCTCTGTTCTTCTGGTGGAATTGATGTTATATCATCCGTTATTCCTTTAATTTTTGAATTCATAAATAAAATTTCTTTTATATTTGATATCACTGCACCTCCTTTGCAAACGAATTCGAAATGGTCATTTTTCAATACTATCTCCAAATCTCCATATTTCAACCTTTGCGTTTGTTCTGCCGTCTTTGAATTATATGCATATATGGCGTATGTAATGGTCTGAAGGACCTGGGTGTTTTGTGCCTTAAGTTGTTGTGGTTGCTGTTGTTTAATCATTTATTATGATTTAAAAATAAATATTTAATCTGTTATCTCATCAGCTATTTTTTCTATTTGAAATTGCCATAATATTTCATTCATGAATTCTAAATCACAATCAAATAGGTCAGTTATTCTAAATTTAATATTTGATAAATCTTTTGAATGAAGAATAAATGAATTCCCGGATAATTGAAACGGATATGATAAAGAAAATGTGTTTAAGTTGATGGATAAAATGTTTTGTATTGATGGGTAAGAGTTAGGGTCTAATGTTTGATGTGAAAATCTCATTGGGGTATTAACTTTATCACATTTGATTAAAATGAAATTGGAACCAGTGTCAGAATACAAAACATCCCCAACATCTTTTTCAAAATTTAATATCCCCAACAATGAACGAAGATGAGGAGTACAAAATTTAATTTTCAGCGGAAATTTAATAAGGTTATTTATTTCATCAAGTTCAAAAAGTTTATCAGGTTTTGATTTAAAATTTTCTTCATACCATACGATAAATGATTCATTTAAATAACTTAAAATCATGTTAATATCCCATTTCGCTATCACATTATTTATATACATATTATACGTTTTTTCATGGTCATCTTTAATAAATGATATATAATCTGAAGGGTCTAAAAGAATGGGATTAAATTTACCACTCACAGAAACGAGAGTAACATTATAAATTCCGCTAACTGTTAAATTTAATTCACAGTTATTATTCGAAATAATATTGATAATTGACATTTTTATTACGATTAAAAATATGGTAAAGCGTTATTTTCCAGTGATAAATAAAACTAGAATAAGATTACCTCAAGAATTCATAAATTCAACGAATAAGAAATTCATTCATGTTATAAATTTTAGTGTTTTCAGAAAATATGAGTCAATGTCATATTCATCAACAGGTTATATTTCACTTCATTCAAATTTAGTTCAATCAAACCCATATAATGACCATTTCATAAGATTTTCAGATGGTATTAAAAATGTAATTGATAGATTAAAATATGAACAGATTGACAATATCGAATTTTTGGAATTTTGGTTTAAATATCCCGATGGAAAAAAGATTGAAGTTAAAGATAAAGCTGATACTATAACAAAAACAATTACAATGACCGATCCAGATAGTGGGGAACAAAAAGAAATAAAACAAACGATAGAAACTGGTGAAAGGTCAATTATTATTGATTATGATTCAAAGGATTATTATTCGATAATGTTAATGCTTGAATATTAAATAGCCTTAACAAAGAATTTTTCAAGTGATATTTTATATTCATCAACTATTTTATTATAAATATCATTATATGTTAAATGAAGTTCAGTTGTTGTTCCGTTCTTTGATATCTTAATTGTGCTAATATCCTTTATAGGATTTATTTTTGCAACTGTTCCGCAGCATGAAACCTCATCATCTATGAAAAATTGAATCTTAACGTCTGAATCTTGAACATCACAAAGAATGGCGATAATGTGAATTAATGATTCATAAGGTAAAATAATTAAACCGGATTGGTCAATTAAATTTATTATTGAATCATAATTATTAATTATTATATCACGGTAAATTTTCATTAATTCAGAATTAATGTCTATTTTATATGGGTTCTCGATGTTTGATGAAAGAGGTGGGGGGTATGTTGGATAAGTGGGAATTTCAACAGGTTCTTTACCAGGTTCAGATAAAATGATTGGGTCTCCATTTTTCTCCTCATTCTTCGGTAAGTCACGAGTTAATAAATTTGGTTGAGTTGCTGACCTTGTTAATTCAGGGCTAACATTAACTTTAACATTTTGAATAATTCGTGATTTATCATCATTTACGTTATAACCAACCGTAATCTCTGCTTTTGCGTTAGTGTTCTTTTGACTAGTGAAACGTCTTCTCATTTATAATCGAATAAAAAAATATATTTAAACTTTTATTTTGCTGGAACTTTTGAATCTATTATTCCCTGTATTTGTTCATGAAGTTGATTTTTAGCATTTTCATCGAAATTAATAGACCGAATATATTCATTAATTGCATTCTTATAATCATCTGATTTCTCAAATTTTCTTTTATCTGATTCCTTAACTAAATCATAAGTTAAACCTCGTTGCTGATATAATGGTTTCTTAATTAAATCTTTGAATGCTTGAGATAAAGCACCTGATGCAATTCTTGCTACTATAATTGGTTGGAATTGCTGTTTAAGTTCATCTTTAACATTTGCGAAAACTGGATCGAATAAAGCAACTTTAAAGAATTTCTTAGCTGAAATTTCAGGTCTAATATTTGCATATTGACCATCAAACTGGTTAGAATATCGTGGTAATCCATCCGGTCCCTCTTCAATAGCATTTAATTCTTCATTGAAATAAGAATATGGATTATGACGGTATGAATTAATTGGACCATTTTCACCTTCTCCAATGTATTGTTTAACAGCTTTTCCATTTTCATCAAATTGCATAGGATAACGTTCATTATATGCTTTACGTTTAGGATAATCAGATATAGTTAATTTATAACCATTTATGACTTTAATATTACCTTGACCATCAGTAACGAAAACTTCATTTATACCATCAGGTTTTCCATTTGGACCCGTAATGTCTGCTTCGTGTGCTTCCCAATTTGGACCATGACGTTTGGCATATGCTTGAGCTTCTGGTAATGTTAAAACGTTTCTCATTTGTTTAACATCTTTTTGAAGACCAGCAACAATATGAACTAATTCTTTCATTCCATCAGGAACTTTCATAGTTCTATTATATGCACCCTTTTTGTTTGTCCCTTGTTTTAATGGAACCTGTAGAAGATTTGCTATTTCTGTCATGTTTAATTATAAATAAAAAATAAAAATTAATTATAAAAAGTTAATCAAATTTAACACTTCCTTTATTTAAATCAACTATTATTTTTCCATGTTCACCTAATTGCTGATATTGTGTGTAAAGTTCATTAATGCTCATTGGTAAATTCACTTGATAAAGCATAACGTTCAACTGTTGACGACTAAACCCACTGAAAATGAAAAGTGTTGATAGATTTGATTTAATGTTTGTGCTTAATGCTTTGAAGTATTGAACAGCCATAAAGAATGAACACTGAATGTGTCGACATTGAGTTAATAACTGATTAAAATATGATTTCTCATTTGTTATT